ATGTTTCTAGGATACTCTGATATAGAATTATTTTGAAAACAAATTTGTAATAAGTATTGGTTTTTAAATGTTTTAAAAAGTTTAAATTTGGCATGATTTTTACGGATGTTACAAATTTCTTTCTAATAATTATTATAAATTGGTTAATAATGTTAAATTAATGCAAAAACTAAATTTTATTCATAAATTAACTAAACTACAATATTAAAATATCATAATTTACTTCTATTTATAAAATTATGACTTTAACTTTTTAACATATTATAGTTAACTTATTAGTTTCGCTATGTTGTCGTATGTGAGAAATTGTCATTTTAAAGTCATAACTTTGGTATAATTTACGATTTTATGCGAAATAGTTAAATTATTCATTTCAATATAATGTTAAACGATTAACTTAAATCAAAATTTCAGTTAAACTTGAAAAAAATCGAGAGACTATTTTATAAATAGTTAAAAGTTATAAATTATAGTGTTAGACCTAAATTGTAATCCTAAATTAACACAAAAAAAACCATGAAACTATTTAGACTTTTTAAATAAGTAGCTTAAAAATAACTTATAATGAGAATAGTTAAAAGTAATATTATATAAAAAATTATAGTGTTATCTTGATTAAAATTAACTAAACTACAATATTAAAATATCATATTTTACTTCTATTTTAAAATTATTACTTTAACTTTTTAACATATTATAGTTAACTTATTAGTTTCGATATGTTGTCACATGTGAGCAATTGCCATTTTAAAGTCACAACTTTTGTATAATCAGAAAAAAAAATTGAACTTAAAAAGATCTAAAAATAATTATTTTATAATGTCAACCTTATTTTTAATAACATCTTTGTATAATTTTTACTATAAAATGTTATTTATCCAAGGTTCATCTGATATATAATAAAATTATGAAGTTTATAGGATTTATATTATATCGAAAAATTGACCATGTAAATAATTTTAACATGTACATGTTTTTATATAAAGATTTCAGAGACATGCACTTTATTTATTTGTGTTGTATAAAAATTAATGATAACTTAATATATTAAGTCACGTGATTATATTTATTCTTTTAGTAATTTATTACAATTACATTTTGTTTCTTTTTTACCGTTTAAATTAAAAAAAAATATTAAATATATATAACATAAAAATAGAGTGATGACTTATACAATTTGGTATATTCGAAATCACATTTACATATAAATACACACTAAATGGTTTTTATTAGATATTTCATTATTAAAAATCATTTTAAAAATAATTGAAGGTAGTTAAAGTTCATTTAAACAATTTAGACCAACGAATATAACGTCCTTTCTTTTCATGCCAGTATAGTATTTTGTTTTTAAGATTTTCAAACAAATTTTCTTACATAAGTATAATAGAGTTTAACAAAAAAAAACAATGTTTTGATTATTTTAGACTTTGTCTTTGTCTATTTTCTCATACACATTAAGAAAAAATGGCTATTACCAACAATAATAAATCATTAGCAAATATAACTATCAACAAATATAATATATCATTTCCAATGATGAACACTAAGCTGCTGTTAAATATTAAAAATCAAACAATTGATAATCAAAATATATTTTATAAACTTATAGAAAATTAGTTTATTTTATATATACTTGTTAAATAAACTTTTTGTTAACATAACTTATTAGCTGCGTCATAAAATATTTTTATTAGTTTATTAAAAAGAAATGACCTAAAATCAAAATCAAATTGGTAAGCATTAAATAAACGTTTTTAAGAAAAAACAAATTACCAAACTTGTTCTTCCGTAGAAAACCAAGGTTGTAAACATTTATAGTAGGGCTGTAAACGAACCAAACGAACACGAACGGGGCTTGTTCATGTTCGTTCGTTTAAGTTAACCGAACAAATAAACGAACACGAACGGTTAAACGAACAAGTTTTCTTGTTCATGTTCGTTCGTTTAACAAATTACATTGTTAATGTTCGGTCGTTTATGTTCGTGAACATGCTAAACGAACATAAACAAACGAAGATAAACAAACATATATGAACATAAATGAACAATAATATAGTAATGTAATCAAACACAATTAAACATATATGAAGATAAAAGGAACTTATATGAACAAACATGAACAAACGTAAACGAAGAACATAAACGAACGTTCACGAACATAATTGAACGAACGAGACTATTTTTCATGTTCGTTCGTTTAACTAAACGAACGAGAATTTGTGTTCATGTTCGTCACTTTCGTCACTATAGGTCCGTCACTAAACATATATAGTGACCAAAATATATAATGGTCACAAAATAGTGACTAAAATATAGTCGTCACTATATCTGTGACCACTCATTCCGTCACTGATCAAAAGAAGTCGTTACTATTTTATCCACTAGTGACCGCAAAAGGTCGTCACTGTTTGATCTAGGAATGACAACGGGGCGGGTTCGGGGCGGGGCATGGTTTCACAAACCCGCCCCGATATCTTTCGGGTATCTTATCGGGGCGCCCCGTTGGGTTCGGGTTTTCCCGTCGGGTTTCGGGTATATTATCGGGTTTACAGCAATTCATAACGAAATCCTTATTCCGTTTTAGGGTACCCCGATGTCTTATAAAAAATACGTGTTCTAGCCTCCCTTTTAAATTAAAAATATGATGAATCATTTTAATAAAATTAATTCGACCTTATATTAAAAATTATTTGATTTAATTTTAGTGTAATACGTCAAAACATAAAAAAATGATCATTCACACCAGATTGTTAATAACTAAAAAGATTGTCCTATATATATATATATATATATATATATAATATATATATATATATATATATATATATATATATATATATATATATATATATATATATATATATATATATATATATATAATCGGGGCGGGTCGGGTCGGGGCGAGGATAACCCACTCCCTGCCCCGAATCCGATAAAAAACCCAATAATGACCCGTTACCCGACCCGAAATAATCGGGTTTCGGGTTTCCCCGTCGGGTTCGGGTTTTTTTGTCATCCCTAGTTTGATCCAACTAGTGACCATAAAAAGTCGTCACTCATCTAGTGACCAAAAAATTCCTCACTGAGTTCAGTTGATGAGTGACCAAAAAAGTCGTCACTGAGTTCAGTTGTAATGATAGAGTAAACAAATCAATATATGTAAGTTCCTATTTTTTGCATCCTCAAAGCTTAAACTATCTATGATGGAGTCAATTTACCTTTCGAGCTCTTAAAATTGCAAATAAAATAAAATAAATAAATATATAACATAATTCGAAAGTTAAATGATGATTCCATTGATTTAAGTATTAATTAATTATACCAGTCAAGAAAAAGAATAGTAAAAGTAAAAACAATGAATAATAAGAGAAAATTTTTGCTATTGTTGTTCCTCTTGTTGCTCCTGCATGGCTTGAGTTAGTTCCTTATTACCCATCTCAACATTCTTTGTTGCTTCAATTGCCTATAATAATAAATAAATAAAACCACTCAATCAAATGCTACCAAATATAACATTCTACTTTATTCACCACATATTGCTATTAATTACAGGTAAATAAATGTGAGTATGTTGCTATTATGGTAAATAAGTGAAAAAAACAGAGCTATTTCTCACCTGATCATACAAACACTCAATTTGTTGAGCTTATCGCAAGACATGTGTTGACATTAGATGATTCAATGTTGAGTTGCTTACATCTCTACCATCTTTGTTTCAGTGTAACGTGCAACATCAAGAAGTCTCGATAACTCCACCTATAAGGGTAGTAGGGTCATTTTGTAGAGTTTAAAAATACGTACAACTATGGTGATAAAAAAGATTAAAAATTCTCAAGTTAGGGACCAAATCCGTAATTTTGATAAGCAAGAGGACTAAATATGTAGTTTGCAAATACCTGAAGAGCACAAGTTTCATCATTTAAACCTTGTTGTTGAATTGTTGGCATAGCTTCTTGAAAGCGTACAGCTGTCAGTTGATCAAGCTATGATGGCACTGAAGGAAGACTTTGACTTAAAATTAAAACCTGTAATTCAAAAAAAAAAACATAAATATAAAACAAAATCATCATAATTCAAAGCCATCCTTTTGCATTTGCTTCTTCATCACTTATGCTGGTTTTTAGAATGCCAATTTATTCTTTACAGGGTTTTACAAAAACACTAAACATGTAAAAAAGTTATGTATTGTAAAAGTTGGAGTCAAGTACATTTTTGGTCCCTGGGTTTAGTTGTTTTTTTCAATATTGGTCCTAAAAAGTTCACTTTTGCAAAATTGGTCCTTATTTTGATGTTCCCTAACGATTTTGGTTAATGTGAGTCTAAGTTAACGAACTAGCTGTTAACCTTTAAAAAATAACTATTTTGCCCTTGGATCAAAGATAGTTTTTAGAGTCTTACTACATGTTCAATGATGTCTCTTTCATCTTCTGTGGTACGATGAGGATCTGCATAATCCATTTTATGCTTTTTAGCAGGAAAAATAAAGAAAGGAAAATAATATTTTAATATTTAGGTGATTATACAAGAAATAATATTTTTGTATATGGTAGTAAAGATTTGCTTATTGTTTTTAATGCATCTTTGGTGAAATGTGATCTTTCATGAGGTTTTTGCATGACGAAAGATGACATTAGAGCTGCCCTTTTGGCATGTTGATGGTAATTACGCAACAAAAAATCATTAGAGGAAATAATGGTGAAATAGGATAAAGATTTGGTCAAACATGGTCAATACAGGAAATGAGAACAAACCTCGTCAAATCCCAAAGATAGAGCTCCCATGTTGACAACATCTTTTAAGTCTTCAATAACACGGTGATCAAGTAAGAACTTTCTTAGATGAGTAGCAAATCGGTTCAACGTCCTTGTGAAAGTATGTGAAAGCTATAATTAATGGATACCTAAAGAATGATATAATATCATAAGAAGAGAAGGAGCAGGAAATGGATCAACAGAATTGTACATAAGTTTTGGTAACACATGATGCACCCATTTTCTCTAGGACTTTTTCTGCAAAACAAAAGTATGAAAGCTATAATTAATGGATACCTAAAGAATGATATAATATCAATCGATGGTTATTCAAGTTTAGCAATGGAACTCCAACTTAACCACAAAAGCAATTTATCAAAGAATAATTAGCCATTTATCTAAAAGAAGCAACTTGTCAAACTAACAACATGCCTACAAAATTCAGTTGCATTTTATACCAAATTAGACATTAGTCACAAATTGGATCACTATATTTATACTTTGGATTGGTGTTTTGTATTTCAATTAGAACAACATACCTTTACGGAGGGATATTGGCAAAAAGATGGCTCTAGTATGTCAACTCTGATGTGTACAAAATTCAAGGTGGGTCTGAAATAAGGATGATCATGGGAGTTAGTTGCTATTTAATGCTTCATAGACAGAAGTATGTTGTTGTAATTGGTAGAAAATTCTAAAATTTTTCAATTTAAGATGTTCTCATAAAGGTCAATGGATGGTTCCTTGGTTTAAAAAAGCGCCGACTAGGCGCACTTAATGTGCTAGGCGCCCAAGCGATGACCAAAAGCGCATCAAGTAATGAGATGCGATGCGATTCCCTTAGTCGGTCGCCTTTTCCGCTTTTTAACGCATTGCGCTTCAGCGCTTAATACCGCTTAGGGTAATTAATAGAAAATGGGCCTTTAATTAAGTTAGACGGGCCAATAGGTTTATATAAATAAAGGAAAGGGATGTAGAATCAATATTGTTAGAGGCGGTAAACACAATTACACAAACAGAGCAAATTGTATCATCGCTCCAACTCATCTTCTCCAAGTAATCAGAAATCAACTCTGCTAATGTTTTCTACTTCCACTCCATTATACTAATCTACATATTCTATTCTCTTCTCAAGTCTAAAACTCTAAAGTCTGATAGTCTGAAGGATGAAATTTGGTCATTATATTTACATGTTTTCTCTTAAGTTGTTTGCTACTAACGTGTGTTACCTAACTGTTAAGTCATACACATAATTCATAAGTTATTTCTTATCGTACATGATAGTTTAGACGATTTCTAGTATCAGTACTTAGGATTTAATATGATGCTACTATGATTTTACAAGATTTTTAAGTATTTCCATATATTTTATATTTTTTTCAATGTGGGGCGCATCGTGTGCTCTAGGCGAGCGCTTTCGCTTAGCGCTTAGCTCATCGGCCCCCAAAGGCTTTAGCGCTTTAGGGCGCTTTACGCTTTTTAAAACCAAGGATGGTTCTAATGGTTTATTCACCTTGAGAGGTTGTTTGTCTGTGTTTCAAGGTCTCAAACAAATCAAAATGACTTTAATTATGTCCAATTTCTATCTTTTTAATGACTGTTTTGGGTGTTACTCGTATCTTGTTGGGGATGCTTACACTTGGAGATTTTCTCGAGCTTAGGGGCATCAACGGAATTCTAAGTGGCTGCTTTTGAATTCTGCATCCAAGGCTACCTTTTACTTCTTAATGTCGAAATTTTATATATAGGGTTTAGGTTTTATTCTTCATCTAGGGGGTGTTAGTGTTGCTGTCTTTGTATTTTGTTTGTGTCAGCTACATGTTGGCTTTGTTGGTTGATACAAGTTTTATTGTTAAAAAAATATAGGCTAAGTTCCAATTAGAAAAACAAAATAAAGCTACACTATATCCTTATTCTTGGATTTTTGGGGTATAGGTAAAGGGAACCTGAGAAGCAATAAGTTTTGAGAAGGGAATAAGCTCCCTCCTCCTCAAGATGATGGTTTCTAAGTGCTCTCATGGCATACTTTATTGCGTAAATTCCAATTTCGTCCTCAGCCTACAAATTTAAAACATCAAAATTCCTTAATTATCACATGCTAAGCTTTACATTTGATTCATATTCGCATTTGGATAATTAGAACTCAGAAAGAAGCAAACCTGAACTTCCAAATTAGGAACTATATCAACGTTAAACCACTACTGAATAACCAAAAACCAAATTTGATATAAATTAAGTCGACCAAACTGTAAAAACCACAAACAATTGATAACTTAAGAGATAAAGTTGATGAATTGTGTTCCATACATGAAGAATGTTTACCTGGATGCGTTAATAACAGGCAGTCAATCAATCTACCATGCAAATGATGTAATCTGAGCTCAATCGTCCAAACACGCTTCTGAAATTTGGAAATTGGTTGTGGTGAGTTGTTACGGTAGTTAACATGGTGTCAGTGGCGGTCGCCATGGTGGCGCGATCTAGCATTCATAAATCTCGGTTGACGCTGTGAGAAATCGATTTTTAGAAATCGATCATATACAGCTTTAGAGTGCAGATTAATTTTCATAAATCGAACCACAAATCAAACAAGGAGTCTGCTAGGGTTCGAACGAAATAACAGAGGAACAAGACGAGAGGAAACCAAAGAGTTTTCCGTAAATGTTTCCGGCGAGAGAAAGAGGAACGAGAGGCTAGGGTTCGAGTTCTTATGTGGTTTCCGGTGATCGATTCATAAAGGGGTGGGGTTTTTGTAGTTATTAACTTAACCAATAATAATAGAAAAGAGAAAAATAGAGATTGCCTTCTAGACGGGAGTGATTTTCGATTACCCATGCCTGAGAAGGGTAGTGTAGTAAATATCATGCTGGCTTCTTTGGTTTTCATTTTAAAATTTAAACTAAGTAATTTTGACATTTTAAACCTAAATAATTTTATTAAGTATTTAATTTGGAATTTATAGAATAAAAATAACTTAATACATGACATGAATTATAAATTCAAATTATTTGTATAACAAAAAAAAACATATTATATACCTTTTTTCTTATGTTTGTTTAGAAAAAGTTTGGTTAAAAAATATAAATTCATATTGTTTTATCAGGTAAAAAATAAAAAATCACTTATGTTCTTTTTTTATATCAGTGACCACTATTTTCTGGTAACTAAATTTTTTTCATGCAGTGACCACCATTACGTCACTATGTGTGGGTTTGAAAAACGAATGACAATTAATGACCATTATTTTTGGTCACTAAGTCTCCAATGCAGTGACAACTTTTCTTGGTCATTAAACGTCAAATCAATGACCACTAATTTTAGTCACTAATACTTGTTATGAAATTAAATGACAATAATAATTGTTAGTGACCACTTAGTGACAACTATATCCGATTTGGTCACTAAATATGTACAACTACCAAAATTCAGTGAACACTTAATATATGGTGACTAAAGAATACTGTTAGTGACCAGATTTCCAGTCGTCACTAAAACATTGGTCACTAAAAAGGAATTTTCTTGTAGTGATATATGTGTGTGTGTTTGTGTTTGTGTGTGTATGTCTGTGTGTTTTCTAATTAATTTATCAGGAACACTTTAAAAACAAAAATTGCCTTAGCCTCTGCCATTAAGTATAAATAAGTTAAAATAAAGCCTTTAGTTGTAGTAATTAATTGAAGAAAAAATTTCGCTAAAAATAAAAGAAAATAATGGAGTTTTGACTATTTTGACCATTGAAGTATCAAAATTGATGCTATTTAGCAAATGAAGATCTCATCATGCTAAATTGGATCCTAAAGCCTCACTTTTTGCTCGATTTTTCCTATGCGACCTGCTGTAGCAGGTTATCCGTTTTTCCTGCCTATGTGACATGCTAAATTAGACCCTAAACTTCAATTAATGCTAAACTAGACCGCAAACTTTGAACTGTTTTTATTTTTTTTTATTAAAACTAAACTCGGTTTTATGTATTATAAGTTCTTTATTTTCATTTTTTGATTTTTTTAGTCGAAACTAAACTTTGTTTTAATTTTTTTTGTCCCCAAACTTTGAAACTTTTTTAAAAAGTATTATTAAAACTAACTCGGTTTTATGTTATTTTACGTTCTGTAGGTAACCATCAGGTTATCCGGTTTTCAAATTGTTTAAAAAAAGTACACAAAATGCCATTGAAAAGACTATTGTAGATAACCATCAGGTTACCCGGTTTTCAAAATGTTCAAAAAATATCATTGTTGTTTTTTTAGTACAAAAAATACAATTAAAGTGACTTAAAAGGGTAACGACGTTTCCAAAATGTTCAAAAAATATCGCACTTTTTGTTAACTTCGTTGTTGTCAGATTGTGTAGAACACAGTCACCTGTGATCATGCATCATCATATCAGTTCACAACCGTTGTGCAATCTCTTTCATTCCCTTAGTCGATCATTCTTGTGGTAACATGAGAAATAAGTGGGTAATAACCTTAGCTAAACATTTTTTGCTCACCGATCGTATTATATGCCTCAAACCTAAAACATATATACGTTATATAGATACACTTATTATACATCAATGTTAATCATTTATTAGTGTTGTGCAATAAGAGAGATACAAAGGAGAAATGAGTGTGACATTATGCCATGAGAATTCCTAAATGTAGATGTAGCGAGTAGGTTTTGCGTTTAATTCTCCGAAACCGGTGAGTAATGAATGGATAGGTACACTCATCGTAATGTGGCTGATTTGATGATGATTTGTATTTAAAGTAGAGAGAGAAACATATGTGTTGGAGCGCTTGAACTTGCATCCTAATTGATGGATTCTTGGTTATGTGTTTTTCTATGATTGTATTTAGATACAAACTATCGAGTGGAGGAATGCAAGAGAGTACACAACTGATGTGCACGGGTACGACGGTGAATAATTTCCGATGACCGTGTTCTACATAATCTGAAAACAACGAAGGTAACAAAATGTGCTCTGAAAAAACAATAATGGTATTTTTTTTGTACAATTTGGAAACTTCAATGGTATTTTTTTTATTAAAATGTGTACTTCGTTGGTATTCTGTGTACAAACAGTATACTTCAATGATATTTTTTGTACTAAAAAAACAATGGTATTTTTGAACATTTTGGAAACTTCGTTACCTTTTAAAGTCATTTTTCCATTTACCTAAGATAACCGGTTACCATAAGGTTTTATTTGAACACATGTGTACTTCGTTGCTATTCTGTGTACAAAAAATATACTTTAATGATATTTTGTGTACTAAAAAAAAGACAATAATCTGTTTTGTACATTGTTTGAACTTCCTTACATTTTTAAACCATTGTTCCTTTTTTTTATTATTTTAGTAAAAAATAAACTTAGTTTTAATTTTTTTTCGTATTTTTTTTTAAAAAAAATTTCCTTTTACTTTCCATCAATTTGATAATTTTTTTTGACATTTTTCAGAAAGTGTAAAATGGATAAATATAGTAGAGTATATTATATCTTTAGTGTTTGAGTTTTTTTTTTGGTATTATATTTTTCTATAATTTGGGCAATTTATGGTTTTTCTATTGTTTTTTATTTTGATTCAATGTGATATCTACGATTTATAATTATTAAAATAAGGAAACTAGCTAAACTTATTAAAATGTAACTTTCAAATTAAATCATGTGATATCAATAGTTTAAATTAAATATAACATTTTTCAATATGATAATAAAGTAAAATAAAAAGTAAAATAAATAATAAGATTCGGACTCTATAAAAAAACTTGTTGCAATATTTTAAATTTGACATTTTTTTTTCATTTACTTGAACCAAAATAAATAAAAAAATATTAAAAAAATCATAAATAAATAAAATTATTAAAAAATAAAAAAAATGAAAGGTCAAAAAGGTCAAAAGAAAGTTATTAAATTGATAAAAAACTAAATTTAAATAATTAAAAATTAAAAATTGAAAAAGAACAAAAAAATTTTAAAAATACAAAAAAAGTAAAAATAAAAAACGAAGAAGAAGTTAAAACCAAGTTTAGTTTTGAATAAAAACAAAAAAAAATGAAAATAAGAAACTTAAAAAAAAACATAAAACCGAGTTTAGTTTTAACACACACATATATATATATATATATATATATATATATATATATATATATATATATATATAGTTCGGGTCTAATTTAGCATGAATAAAAGTTTATAGTCTAATTTAGCATGCCACGTAGGTAGAGAATTCAGGTAACCGCCTATAATAGGTCGTAAGGGGCAAATCGAGCGAAAAATGAGACTTTATAGTCCAATTTAGCATGATGAGATTTTCAGTCATCTTTGATACTTCAATCGTCATAAAGGTTACAACTCCCAAAATAATTCATAATTTGTTAAACGTTACATTAAAACTTTTTAATTTAATTTTACTCGATATGAGAAGAATTAAACGTTTTTTTGAGAAATCTTTGAAATGTAAACTTATCCGTCATAAAATGCTTTTCGGATATAAAGTAGTCTCCCCTTTGCTACTCTTTTTGAAGTAGTTTGCAAGTGACGTAGACATAAAGAACCAAACATATTCTAGTACAAAGAATTTTATGTCTTAAAAGTAAAAAAAATATTATTTAATCTATACGTCGGATATTTTTCCTAATACTTTTCAAATATTATAATGTCTTCATAATGTAGTTCATTTAAACCAATCGTTATTCCACACACATTAAGACTTCAAATATCTTAAGCTTTTGAAAACACTGTACAATCATGTAAATAAGGAATGAGATCAAGTTAATGATCTGTTGATAATTCGTGTGTGTGTCTGGGGGGGTGATCATTGGTGCGGTCTCCAACTCTCGGTACATTCTTTTTAACGTGACTCTCAGTACATTCTTTCTAATATTTAAATGTTTAAACTTTAAATATTATATATATTCCAATCACTCATAAAAATTTTTAAATTATATATATATATATATATATATATATATATATATATATATATATATATATTACTCCCTCCGTATGCATAAATGTAATTATTGTATTATATTCTAACTAATTATTGTGTGATTGTATTTTTGGAAAGTGAATAATACATATTACTCCCTCCGTCCCAAAATTATAGTCTATCTTTCCTTTTTGGTTTGTCCCAAAATAATAGTCCACTTCTAAAAATAAATAATATTTTTACCAAAATACTCTCTCATTATTTCTTAACCAACTAAGCATTTAATGGAACATTAAATGCAAAGTAAGGACAAAACTGTAATTTTATTAAATAAAGTTAATGGTAATTAATGCTTTTTCTTAATATGTGTGTTTTTTGTCTGTGGACAATAATATTGGGACGGAGGGAGTATTAAATTAAAGATAATTAAAAAATATCATCTAATTTCATTCTAAAGGTATTTTAGTCAATTAACTTAAATTTAAAAAAGGAAAATTGCATATTTTAAGGGAAAATAGATTCTGTTAATTTTAAAAATCTGATTGTAATGATGATAATTGTCTTAATTCAGAT